CTCGTCTCGCTCTCTCTCTCTCTCTCTCTCTCTCTCTCTCTCTCTCTCTCTCTGTGTCATCTTCTTTTCTTCTTCATCAGACACGCATCTCAAAGGGATATTTTTCTGCATAAACATGTGCATAAATATAAATGCGTAAATATAAGAAAATCTCCGAGAATAAACTGCAAAATCCTCGCAGGCCTGTCCCATTTTTCGCTATATGTGACGTTTTGTGTGAATTAATCTCGGCTCCTTTTAACAAGATTACAGCCTTTTACGCTATCCAGAAGCGGCCGTGCGAAGGTTTTTCTCTAACGGGATGTTTCACCTGGTTAAAAGTGTTATTTTCCGTCGGAAATTCGTGCCACATATAAGCTCTTCTACAAATCATCTGAAAATACCACTTCATGATACCATCCACTACGAAGGCATAAATAAATCATTACGCTATTTTAGAGAATATAAGAGCATATAAATTTTTACGATTTTTTTATATGAAAAAACCGGGACAGAAATTTTTTTGTAAGATTTATGAGGTAAGGTAAATTTGTGAAAAAAACATTAGACGCCCCAAAAATTCTCGAAATTTTTCTATAGACCAACGAGTACTCTTTTTATGTATAAAGTATAATAAATTCTATCCTTTGCCACTCTAGCTGACATTTTATCTACTTTGTCTGTAAGGCCATAAAAATCCTCTTTAAAGGTGGAAGCTCCCCCATAGAAAGAAAAGCTTTAAAAGATACAAAGGGTACAAATCGCATTGCACGAATGAATATATCAATTTACAATCAATTTTGCAGTAATAGCATCATCTTTGATGTGGAACATTTCTATATCTCGGAACGATTTTGCAAATAAAATTCATCCGGTGAGCGTGAGATACTCGATATATGGCGTGACTTGTTGCGTCGGAATATTCGATATCCGACATACTTTTTGTCGCCAATCCACTGGACTTCCGTTCTTTGAATTGAATTAACTACGAAGCGAGGCTTAAGTTGGCTTAAAGTAAAATCTGAAATAGTTGGGAAACCCCTCTCCGGAGAGATTCCGCTTTATTACCGCTTTATTACCGCGTCCGCGTTTCGCTTTTCATTCATTTTCAGGGGTATATAGTAAGCAACTTCGCCGTCGACGGTCTTGATATCGAACGGTATTTACCGTGTCGGTAATGACTGTCTTGCGATGCGAAAAATATAAAGTCCACGGGAGAATAAGCCGCCCACTATATCACGTGAATCGGCAATCGTGCTTTGACACGGATATAGCACAATAAACATTCCAGTTGACACGGTGCTAGACGGTAGATCGATAATCATTCGGTCTTACCGCGTTTACATACCCTTAACCGACTGCAATTGATAACGAGGAGACATGGCGGAATGACAGCACGGGCGGGAATAAAAATAACCGGGCCATAAAAAAGCGTTGTACTCCAACGTCACGTAAATAACCGTTGCATATTAATAGCTATTAATTATGTGATTAACGACGACGATAATTTTGTATCGTTGCCGTCGAAGGGATTAAATTGCAACGCATATAAGGGTGTTATATGCGAGGCGTTTGAAGCGAGAGACAATATGGAATTTTATTTCCCGCTTGCCGACACTCTCGAAGCGACGAGGAGGAAATATTTGCAAACGGGAGGAATCTTCCATAAGTTGAGAATTCTCGCGATGGTGGTATAACCGTTTGCCTCTTTTGTGCCGTAACTCGTGAATGCCCATTTTGACCCGGCGAAGAATCTGCCTGCGGTACACGCACACACATATATATCTGGCGCAATATCGTCGTGACGGTATTCTTTCCTGCGATTCCTGCGGCAGCTCGCTTAACCGGAAGGAAACCGATAGGAAACTAGCAGCACGTGAAACGATGAAGCTGGATTCCCGGGTGTAAAATATAAAAAGGGCACGGGTGATAAACGCACGTGCCGCTTGATATACGATATCGTAAATAGCGAGGCACTCTTTGCTGGGAGATCTCGAGATCGAAATAATTCATCTTAACAAAGTCGGAGGCAAAATACCGCGTGGTATTTTCAATCATGATGAAAACAATTACCTTTGATCTTATTTCACGGCGTTTCTCGACGCATTTCCCCGACGCGTTAGCATTGATACTCTTGAACTGAAGAAGAGTTGAAAAGTTCACCGCGCGCTATTTTTAAGCTGTTCCTTCCCTCGCCTTAATGAAACGGATGACCGAATGAATTTTACACGGCGACACATCTGCGCCAATCGCATCGGTTTTTTGCCGATTGTTAGGAATTTATCGCGCAACAATTTGTATAATTACGAGTCTTTTTGTTTTAACGTTCTATATAACGCACGTGAAATTAGGTTAACGACTTTTGAGATTGTATGATCATTTTGGATAGCTTTAGACGACACGTTTTCCCATTATTACGGAATAGTAATTTTATTTACTATCGTAAAAAGGTAGTATCTTGTTTGAGCTGTACCGTCTGACGTGAGGAGCTTGCGGCGGGAGAGGCGCATGTATAAAAAGAGATATCGATATGCGCGCGGTGGTAGAAATAACGGCAATAAAAAATTGACTTGTCGACGAGTTCACGAGGATCGAGGATCTAGATACGATCGGCCATTTTCGGGTCGTGATAGTTATTTTGATCGTCGATACTGATACCGAAGTGAATGTAATCCACGACGGGGCTCAGAGTAGAGTCGCGCTAGATCAATAAGCACGATGACGTGTAAATGAAGCACTTCTCTTAAATCTTTTACTTTTCATAAATTATATCGGTCGATCGATTTTACCGCAGCACGCGATGTAATATTTAAAGAAGCCACGTATATATTTCAGAATTTCGATCTTTTTCGCGGCGAAGTCCCTCCTCGCGTCGTCGCTATTAAGTTTAGATTGAGGCCAACGAGGCGCAATTAGAAATCTTGATGATGACACACATCTATAGTCAACCTATAAATTACCCTATGATTAATTCCAATAATACAGGTTAGTAAAATATTTAGGATCGTTTTTTCCTCGTGGATGTAAAGCAAATGCCTCGACGTATTTTTGACTCGGTTATCTCGATTTTATGATATATATTGATGATGTGTATCGAGATAATGTAAACACCATGGAAGCTGTTGACTTGATACTCGGTGTTGGCTTGCTATTCGATAGCTCTTGTATCAAGCCACACTTGGGGGTTGGCTTTTGCTATTTTACAGATAACAACGGCGGCATGAACGTACGAGACTGGTTACAAAGTGCCATTTGCAGAGTGTCGCGCGATCACGAGCGTTCTATCAAGGTTGCATCCCAACGACTTCCAAACTTTGTGTACGCAGTGTAGCTTGTAGAACGAAACGCGAAGAGAGAGAGAGAGAGAGAGAGAGAGAGAGAGAGAGAGACACTTGATACATGTAGACGTAAAAGTGATGAAGAAATCGTAGGACGTAGTTAGACTGTGTATGTGAAATGTGAGAAATTCAAAAGGAGCCAACATGGAGATCATCACGAAAAGCGTCGCAACGACCAAAAATTCGACTACACCAATGGCCTCCGTGAGGTTCGCCAAGCTGCAATTCATGTTCCTTCTTGGTCCACAAGAGGGAATGTGACTTGATTTAGAAGCGAGCCTCGACGATGAATCGCCTCAGGGATCGTCAAATAGAAACATAGGCGCATAACTAACAACAACAAAAAATAAAGAGAATACAAATAAAAAAAGTATCTACGTAGTGCGATCAGATAAGGCTGAAATATGGATTCGACGAAATTGGGCGGTCCAGCGCCGACCAGTCCGAGGACTCATTCGCCAGTCCTGCCGAGCTACGCCGCACCCGGTGACGGTAATATCGATTATATCATCGGCGACTATATGGAGAGACTAGGCACGAGACTGAACATACTCGAAACTGAATTGAAATACGCGTGGAGGGCGCTGGATCTCCTCAGCCAGGAGTACATCAAGATGTGGGAAAGATTAGAAAAACTGGAGGGTCTGCTGTACGAGCAGCAGACGGTCATCAGCCAACTGATCGAATTTTACACTAGCGGCGGCACTCACGACAATGTGAGCATCGTTGAGGAGACCTTGGCCAACCAGCAGAGCTCGGTAGGCGAGTTGGATGCGATCGCGAAGAGTCTGGGTACTGCGATAGGTATCGAGGAGACCACCGTGCTACGGGAGAAACTCGCTCAACAGGAACTAGTGAGGATGCACGGACTCACGCAGGACAGTACAACGGCCGCGGCTGTGGTCACCGATATGCACAGGAATGTGAGGAATCTGGACACTTTGGAAACTCTCGAGGAAGAGGGCAACATTCCCGACGAGGCATTCTACAGGAGCCTGAATAACGCTTATAGGGAAGATCTAATCTGCGGCGACACGTCGAGACCGACGTCGCAACTGGGTATGATCTGGGAAGAGGCCGAGGACGAAGATATAAACGGGAAAAAGGAGATCGAGTCCAGCATCTTTGACAAGACTATACCAAAGGAAAAAGAGCTAGAAGAGTTGTCCAATCAATCGACGAAGGAGGAGGTGCAAACTTCCATAATGAAGAAAGAAGATGAAGCGGATGAGGACGAAGGCGAGGTGTTTAGCGCGGCCGATTACAAGAGTTACAGAGGAAACACGCCGTGCGTCAGCGAGCAAGATCTCGCTCAACTTTCGAGACTCAGCTCTCTCGATCAGGTGGCGTTAGAAAAGTTGCACGAAATAGACAGGCTAACCAGTAAGCTGCAAAAGGACTCGCAGAATCTGATAGAGCTGCAATCGAGATTGATAGACTCGCCGAAACGAAACCAGTATGCCTCCGAGGCCGAGGCGAAATTGGCTGAGGAAGTGAGCAGCTTAGACGAACAGATGAGAAAGATCTACGCGGAAACTGACGTGGACAGCTGGACCTTCTCCAAAAGTCCTGGATCTACTGGCGGCAGATCAATCTCCAGAGTCAGCACTGACAGCGGATTAGCCACCGATGGCGACTTTACAACGAGATCTATATCGCCAAGACTGACCTCTACGTCCAGGAGTAATTTAGACTCCATTTCGACTACTTATACCCCGCCTAGATTAGGATATACATCGGCTATACTAGAAAAAAGTCCGGAACCCGTGATCCAGTTGCCGATCGATGTCGGTAGCTTCGCGAAAGGATACGCCGAAAACAAGGAGCTGACAGATTTGATGGCCGAAAGTTTCGCGACCGCTGTCACTTGCGCCTCACCCAGTATTTATAACGCGACCGCTGACAAAGTGTCATCGCCCACTTTGTCGGCCGGTAGCGTGCACAGCGGTCACAGCGTTCAAGGTCTTCGCACCAGACAGGACGGTTATTTCGGTAGCGCAGCCCGGCTCAATCTTGAATTTCAGGAAAGTCGCACGCCACCTAGTCCATCGCCTAGTTCACCACCTCCACCAGCGCCACGAGATACCACCGAATCCTTCCTCATGCCTGGCGCGGATCAGAGAGAGCCGGAGACGAAAAGATCTCAGAGCCCGAGTTTTCTGCGAAACACGGAGAAGTTGGTCTCCATGGAGCAGGGTCGTCTCAGTCCGCGTACTCCTCACTCGCCCAAATCACCGAGAGTCTCGCCGAAACATGCGGTGAAATCCAGTAGTGCCGCTAATATAGTCACAGCTAAATCCGACTCCGGTCTGTCCTCCATGAGCGGCTGGAGCAGCTTAGACAAGTCGCCATGTTCCCCAAAGAGCTCTATCGCTAAGATGTTGACTTCTTATTCAGTGGATCATACCCGCGCGAGTACTCTTATACCTAGCACGCAGCCCGCCAGGACATCCAGTCCGATACCGCCACTTCCAGAGACGACTAGTACCACAATCACGCAGGAACCTCTTTATGACACTCCCGAGGGTAGAGACGCCTTCGCGAACACGATGACGACTACATCCGGTCATCCTTACACAACGACAATGAATCACTTATCAGCATACACAACTGCTAGCAAATCACCAGTCAGTAAAGAGGAGTACACTTTTGTGCCACCACCAGCTCCAGGCGTAATTACCACCTGTCAGAGTCCTAAGAAACGCAGCCGTCTTCAACACAGTTACTCGACATCCGCCGGTATGACTGCGGATTACATTTATAGATCGGAACAACCGGCTATTTATTCCGTGGCGGGTAGTAATCGACAGCAAGCCATCACGAGCGTCTATACCAGCGGTGCTGGAACTTACGGGCCCAAGACTACCACGTCGGCTTACTACTCTTCCTCCGAGTCGATGGACCATCAGTATACCAATTATCAGGACAGTTACGGCACTCTTCAGTACGCGGAGACGACGAGCGCCATGATCGCCCATGGAAAGAAGCCGATACGCGGGAGTTCCTTCACCGACGGCATGACGAATCACGAAGGATACAAGGCGGCGATGTATCGCACGATGTTCCCCACCGGTAATATCACGGATGCACTCTCGTATTATCCGACCAGCGTGACCAATCTGCCGCGCACGGAGACAAACGAGAGCTCGTCGTGGCTGAACTCGATGGAGGAGCAAATACCTCACGATTCGACATCTTCCAGCATCAGGTCCTTGACTTCCGACGGAAGCTATGCTCAAAGTCCGTACACGGACCGGAGGTATCCTCAGCCACCGGCCTATCAAGCGCATCCGGCGTATCAGCAGCATCATATCTATGTAAATCAGAATTATCCGCAAGTCTATCAGCAGCAGTATCAACCGTACAGTCAACGACTGAGCAGTGCCGAGAGCGCACAACTTGCGGACGGTTATCAAAGACAGTGGCAAAGGGAGCATCAATACATTCAGGATCACGAGAGTGGAAGAATACCGATGGAGCAACAACAGACGCAGCAGAGCGAGTATTATGACGCCTCGAGCGTAATAGTTTCGCAATCCGGATACATCAGCATTGCCACGAATTTGAAGGATCACGAAGTGGATAACAGCAAGTTGTCGAAGAAGGTCAGAAGAGGCTCCTCGCTGAAGAACGCGATGAGCTCCATGAGCAACTGGTTGCCCGATTTACATCTCAGTAAACGTCACAGAAGTCAATCATTGCCAGGCGGTGTGAGGAGAGAGGACTTGGACGTGCCGCAAGACGGTCAGCAAAGATTGCCCGCTGAAATGACAGGCAGAGGTAGGGGCAGAGGTCAGGCGGCTCGAAAGAAAAAGAAACATACGCTGGTTTCCACGGTCTCCGGCATACTTCAAAAGGCCAAACGTCGCAGTCATCAGTCGCAGTCTTTGTCCGATCCGGAACAGTCCGAAACGGAATGGAGCAGCGGTCGGCAAAGCGGCCTTTCGGAAGACGAGGACAGCGTTATATCCGATATTGTTCAAGAACCGCCCTTCTTCGCCAAGGTAAAGACCGCGAGCACGAAGAGGAAGCAGCCGCTGCCGCAGCAAATGATGACGCAACAACAGATTCAGCAGCAACAACAGATTCAAGCGCAGCAGATCCAAGCGCAGCAGATTCAAGCGCAGCAAGCAAAGGAATATATGCAACAACAGCAGCAGCAAGCACAATTACAACAGTTCCAGCAGCAACAGGCGCTTCAGCAACAACAGCAGGCGCTTCAACAACAGATCCAACAGCATCAGGAGCAATTGCATCAACAGGCTCTTCAAGATACGTGGGCTAAGGAAAAGGAGCAAAGAAAGATCGAAGCTACCGAAAATGAAGTGAACGATCAGATGGCTATGCTCGAAGAGGAAGCTTCGGGGAAGAGTACCGGCTCCGGATCTGGTGGATCATCGATTTTCCAAACTGTCGGCGACATTAAGAGGTCGACGGGCAGCTCGGATGAGGCACCCAACGAGAAGGCGCCGAAATTGCCTCCGGTCACTTTGATCGGTGGTTCGAGCATGGAATTCGCCGTATCACGAGCGCTTGGCAAGTATCGCCAACGACAATCCTCGACGGTGTCCGATGAACAATCGATAACCGACGAGAACAACGAGAAGAAACCAGCCGAGGAGGGGCCGGCGCAGACTCTGGAAACAAGTTTCGAGTATCCGGAGGATATGTCTGAAAAGAGCGAGAAAAGCGAGAAATCCGGTAGCGCAAAATTACCGGAACTAGTTACCAGTCTGTCGGAAGAAGCCCCGCCGTCGGAAGGCAGCCCGTCGGCGTCTATAAGGGGTTACAATACCACGGGAGGAACTCGATTTCTGCCGCGTCACCAGCAGTCCCTGGAAATTCCCTGGACCGGATCGCGCCCGGGTGAACCTGACGAGGATAATCGCAGCACGCATTCGTACAGGAGCACGTCGAGAGTATCTTCGAGGCGGCAGAGCACCGAAGATTCGATTGATTCCGAGGACGAATGGTACTGTTACGAGCTAAGAAAACTCGAAGAGCTGGAAAGGCAGTCCGAGATGGAAATGACCGAAGCGTTAATCGAGGAACCCGAGGATGAGGTTTATCAGCCGGACGAAACGGTAAAAGAAAAGATGTCGTTCGTGTTAAAGGAGCTCAAGCTTAAAGCCATCACGAAACCGAAAGAACAGAGGAAGGAGAGTAGGGAAGAATTGCGAGGTAGGATGAATGGTACGGTCATCAAGGAGCATCGCTTCGAGGAGAACGACAGCAGGTATCGCGACGAGAAGCCTATTCCGAAGCGGAAATCTGCGGAGAGCGTGGAGGCTGTGTTCGCCAGGGTGACCGATTACCATACATGGGCGCACGAGATAGAAGCCAAGAAGGAGAAGCTCCCACCGTCCACGGAGGAGGGTTCTTCCGGCGAGACATCCGGTCCGGACAGTCCTGGACAGTCGATGGACGAGGAAGAAGAGGAGGAGCTGCCGAAGGATCTCGAAGAACAACAGTCACGACGAAGCTCCAACGGTTCGACGCTACGTCACAGCGAGAAGATGCCGCAGGGCTCGGATTCTTTATCCCGCGAAGGTAGCGTAAGTGTACCACCTAGCGAAGTGTCGGTCAGCATCCCGGGAGCTTGGGATTCTGAAAGCACTGTCCTTGAAGGCCTCGAGCGCGACGGAGCCGGTAGCGCCGAGACGGCTACCACGGCGACCTTGAGTCTACCGAAGATCAAGATCGACTCCTCGTCCTGCGGAAGCTCGGACACGACATTGAAGGAGGGCCAGGTGAGTCCTGGCCCACCCGGGTCCAAGTGGAAGCTGCTCAAGGCCTTGAAGGAACGTAAGGCCGAGGAGAAGCTCAAGGAGGTCGAAGAGGCCTCGAAGGAAAACACTATCTCTCAGGGACCCACGGCAGTAAGTATCATGATCAAGTGAGGACACGAAAACTTCTGTAAAGCGTACTCGAGATTCGGGGGTTGGGTAAAATTGTAAATCGTTTCTGTCTCGCTTCTCTCGTGATTTTCGCGATCGGGATTGGTATTCTAACATTTTTTATTGGACCCGATATCGATATCCAATTATTGTTCAATCCGAATTCGATTTATCTTAATGTAACCGTAAATAACCTATTCGCGGAAAGAGAGCTCCTTTACCTTCAACGTCGTCGTCGGCGCTTAAGCACCTTGACTGTTTTGGCAACTGACGTAATATTCTCGACGATTGATTTCCCGCGTGCTTCGAATTCATTATGCAGCGCATATATATATATCTCGAATGTCGAGTGCGCTCGTATGTCGACTGACTGTAAAACGGTACTACGGTGCAGTGAGGTACTGCAAATTTAACGATATTTGGCGTTAAAATTAAGACCGTGCCACCAAGTGACACGTATACTCAGTCAATGTTGTGCGCGACACCAAAAGGAAGTCAAGCTTTGTTGTCGAAGAGGGTGGCGACAATTTTGCTCACTCTCTTTCACTGAAGTCATTAGGGAGACCGAGAGCCTCTGAAATGGTTGTGTGAGACGCATGTTACAAACGGTACTAGTCAATTTAAGTGTAACACCATTAACGCTTGATCAAGCAATATTTCTAAAGGGCGAGAACGGCCGCTTCGGTAGCGGTCGATTTATCACGATCGACGATGATTGATCTCGCGATTCCACGCGGTCGATTCCGCGTGGCCACCGGGAAGCTCATTTAATAAGCATTTTTAGACGTAATTAGATGGTGCTTTATTCGTAGATACGCTTTAAACTAGTAACTATTATCGTTAGTATATGCCGCTGTGTCTGAGCGACGCGGACAAGTGTTGTGAATATAATGCCTGCAAAAAAAAAAACGCGATACAATCGTTCGCAGAAATATCGTGCCGTCGAAATTTCTTCTTTCCCATCAAATTACCTTATTATTTTTAATATTTATACTCGACATATATCTTCTCTTAGTTCTCCCCTCGTCGTTTCGAAATTATACGATTGCATCAAGTACAAGCGTATCATTGTTCGCGTTGTGAACGTTACCTGAGAATCGCAAAGGGCATAACAATGATAAGTCACATTATAGCGATAAGAATGTACGTCGCGCAGACACCGCGGGAAACTCGCATTTCGTAAAACATCGAAATCCATCGCTCCCGTAAACGCCTGTTAAGACACACACCGGAAATGCTCGCGGACACGCGAGCCATTCATCGTGCGGAGAGAGAAGGAAGAAAATGGACGTAAAACGACCCGGAGTGAAAATCACGCCGGCGAATGGCCCGGCATTTCCGCGATCTACAAAGAGTACGGTGCGGCAAAATGGACGTGGGTGGAAAAAGCGCGCCGCGAGAGCTCGTGGAAACAACGGTTTTTTAGAGACGCGGCGAATTATTAGCGCGACGAATCGTTTGAGACGAGTGAGAGAAA